TTGGGGTACACCGAGGGTCGGGATACATTGTGATTTTGGGGTATAGTTTAAATACGGGGAATACGGGTACCTACTGAGGTTTGGGGTACACCGAGGGTCGGGATACATTGTGATTTTGGGGTATAGTTTAAATACGGGGAATACGGGTACCTACTGAGGCTTGGGGTACACCGAGGGTTAGGGTACATTGTGATTTTGGGTTATAGTTTAAGTACGGGGAATACGGGTGCCTACTGAGGTTTTGGGTTTACCAACAATCTGGCCAACACAATCTGCATGTGGACCCTTTTTTTAAATCAATGAAAAAGAAAATAACGATCGGTATACCATTTCACAATATTGAGAGGAAGAAACTACTCATTATCCATATTATACATGAGGAAAGCTAGACTGACTATACTCTTCTAGAAAATGTTGCATAGTAGTTAAGCAGCCAACACGCCAATATGTTTTAACCTATTTGGGCAAAAAAACCCAGATAGTGATGAGTAATTCAATTTTGAACAAAACGGCCCAGAAAGTTTTCCAAATTTTCAAAGGTTCTCTGGAAGACTGGTCACCTTTAGCGACTTTTAGGGTTTTCTAAGGAGCGTTAGGTTTGGGAAACGTGTCTTCCAAAAGGGTTGAAAATAAAACATTCCTCATGGGGTCATTAAACGGAAGAGAGATGGGAAGAGGGAAGGGCAGACATGCAGTGGTTCATACCTGAACTGGAGATATGACATTTTGGCATGTTGTGATCCTTTCACCAGAAAATCAAAGGAGAAAAAATGAGATTCAGTAATGGAGTCCACTGTGACTCACGATAAGCTTAAATCATTTTTAATTCTAATTCCTTGAACCCAGACTGAGGTCACAGCTCAAGATCCCATTTGCCTATAAGTAACACTGAAACTGGAAGGAAAAGGAGACAGTCTTTGCAAAGCCTTTATGTATCATACCTCAGGACCAGAGCCAGACCACTGAATACAATCAAGGACCAAAAGAAACCATACGGGCTATTCTCAGATTAATCCGTTTTACAGTGAAAGGAAATATGAAGGGATGTTTTCCGCATTTGACTCAGCATGCGTATAAGTGTGGGGGAAAACCCCTTGAATTATGACATTTTGAGGATTTGGTGCTGCAAGAGACTATAGTGATTACAAATATATCTGGGGGGAGAAAAAACTAAACCTTTATCACATAATGCATGGCTCATGCATTACATTTCTGTAACAGAAGCAGCTGGTTCAATAAAAGAAAAAAATTACTAGAAGATAAATCCAATCTGCAACCCAGATTTTAAGAACATAAGAAATTTACAAACGAGAGGGGGTCATTCGGCCCATCAAGCTCGTTTGGGGAGAACTTAACTAATAGCTCATTTTGAAAGTCTTGCGTTTCTTATACTCAGGGTTTCTGCTTCTTTTTAGTGCGCTAATGTAAAACACAACAACTTTTGGCCATAAAATCACTTAACTAAGATTCTCAATCTGCATGTGGGGAAATGAAACACATTACATGTTTATGGGAACAAGGACCACACATCTAGGACTCAAACAGCAGCTGACGTGCTGATGCGTCTGTTGTATCATTTTTACACTACATTAAATAAACTGCCATAGTATCACTACAGGGAAACTGTCCGCCTTTCCTATTAAGATACACCGATCAGCCATAGCAGTGAACCCACCTGCCTAATATTGTGTAGGTCCCCCTCGTGCTGCGAGAACAGCTCTGACCCACTGAGGCATGGACTCCACAAGATATGGTGTCTTGTGGTATCAGGCACCAAGACATTAGCAGCAGATCTTTCAAGACCTGTAAGTTGTGAGACGGGGCCTCCAGGGATCCGGACGTGTTTGTCCAGCACGTCCCACCCTGCAGTGTGGCAGTGTGGCAGGGTGCATTATCCTGCTGAAAGAGGTCACTGCTATCAGGGAAGACCGTTGCCATGAAAGGGTGCACTTGGTTTGTAACAATATTTAGGTAGGTTGTATTTATGAAAGTAACATCCACATGAATGTGGAATTACAACCATTATTGCCTTCTACTGTCCTGGAGGGGTATTGCAAAAAATTATAAAATGAAAAAATCCCACGCATGTTGAGAAATTTACACTGCAGTGTCCAGGGTGAACAATTATTTTCTTTCTTCTGTCATTAAACAAGATCACCATACTTGTTTTTGTGAACCATAAGACATTGAATAACATTCATTTGAATCTGAATGTTAAGGGAATAACATTGAATCCAATATTATTATTATTAAAACTACTACTACAAGCAATGATAGCTGATCCATATTGTTTTTGTCCTGATTATTATTTTTACATCAAAATGTCATTTTGCAGCTTTTAGCAATAAAAGGATGTAGCTTTACTGTCAACACTGCATTCACATACATTCATCACAAAACATCATTAAGCAAAACTGCATTGATCGTTCTGATTCACATATGACCAAATAAGTAGTATTTGTGGTGAAGGATGAGGATCTTACAAAAATATCAGTAAGTCAACTAAGCTCTATATTAATCAATAAAGAATGTCTACGCAACTAGTCTTCTATTCATCAAAGAACTGAGCACCCCCGTCTCAGCTCATTACAGATTTGTTTTAAGACATAAAGACCCACTTTCCCCAATAAACCCCCAGGCCACCCAGTTGAAAAACATACGCCTGCCTTTTTACAATGCTGGTGAAGTGGTGATTTGGACAAAGCTTTTCACAGGCATACTGACCACCTCACTGCCTTAAACCCATCACTGAAAACCTTGCCTTCGTATGTGTGTCATTTCTAGAGCTGTAGTGTACTACAGCTTGTCAAACACGGCTTATAAAGAAACATGATTTGAATGTGGTTCTTATGTTCTTCATATGTGAAAATACGGGACAACACTGCGAACCACTCCACATCGATTTGATTGAGCACCGCAACAGGTCACTAATTTTGTCCCCATTCATATTCAACGATGTGATTTCCGTACAATACAGCATTTCCTGGATTCTGGAAGGAGGTGGGTTTCCGGTTGGAGATGGACTGATAGGCAAGTTCTACGGCCAGACACTGTTGAGGTAAATAGTGCACCCGCACCTGGCTGTCCACATGATGTAACAGAAAACATTACTCATCAGACCAGACCTCTGTTTTCCATTGGTCCACGGTCCAGTTCTGACGCTCACGTGCCCATTGTAGGTGCTTTCAGCTGTGGACAGGGGTCAGCATGGGCGCACTGACCGATCTGCAGCTACGCAGCCCTATATGCAAACAAACATCGTGTGTTCCGACACATTGTATCACAGCTGGCATTAACTGTATCAGTAATTTGTGCTTCAGTGACTCTACTGCAGAACTGGACCAGCCGGGCTAGCCATCGCTCCCCGCTTGCATTAATGAGTTGGGCACCATGACTCCATCGCCGGTTCACCAGCTGGTGTTTCATGGACCACTGTTGGTAGGTACTTACCACTGCACACCAGGACCACCACACAAAACCTGCCGTTTTGGAGATGCCTCTAGCCATCACAATTGGGCCC